TGAGGTCAGGGGCAATCGCACGAGGAATTTTCTGGAAGATTTCCCCTGTGGTGCAGCTTCATTAGCAAGTAGGGCAGCGTTTCTGCTCGTGCTTCCCTGGAGTAGGAGCTTTTTCAGGGAAGGCGCTTGCTTGAGCAGCCCCGAGCTCACAGCTCTGAGACAGGAGAGCTCACTCCACTGACGCACGTTGTTTCAGGAGCTTGTTCAAGAGCTTTTAATCCCTCCACTGATGCCACTTATAGTTTTAATCAGCTCGAACGTTCATTCGGCATCAGCAGGATATGAACCAGCAGCCCATGGAGCCCTCATCCAGCACCTAAGATGACACTAATGCGTGGGTCACGGCAGAGATGGGAGGTGGCAACGTGGTCTGCGTGGTATCAGAGGGCTCAGCGCAGGGGAGGGAGAGAGAACCCAGCGCCTTCTCGCGTTAATCACGTTATCTACCCCTGCGTGGGAACACGGGGTATGAGGGAATGGGGCCGAGAGCCTGCTTTATCTCCTAAGTCCTTCCTCATGCTCTGTGCATATAAGTTCCTCCTTGGGAACTTCCTTAAATCCAACCGCAGCAGCCTCCCCCAGGAGGGAGAGCGGGGGGTGACAGTGAGCAAACGCAAACGCTAACACATCTGGCCAGAGGTGACGCGATCCAGTTCATCCTCAGGGCTTCGCTTCTCCCCAGGTAGAACCAACGCTTGCCCAGAAAGATGTCACCACTCCGCGGGGTGGCCCTGCGGTGCTGCACCCGCTGCTACGGCCAGGAAGAGGAACTGACCTTGCTTTTACTGTCCCACGGCTTTTGTCCATGCCAAGATTCACAAAGCACGCTGAAAACAGTCTGAGGTCAAACCCAACATTGTTTCAGAAATGAAACCGCTATCCTTTCCCTCGACTCGCTCACCTCTTCCTGGCCAGCAGGGTAAGGGCACTTTCAGCGCACGGTAAAAATTTGAGTTGAGTGGTACTAACAGACAAGACCTAACTCGCTGCAACAGCCCTGCTCGCTGACGGCTCACAGAGCCGCTGCTGATGTGCATCCGATCCCTGCCCTCCAGGTCTCAAATTCTGTAGGGCAGCAGTTTATTAGCAGGGCTCAGGAGTGGCTGGGCACAGCACCAGCGAACTCTCGCCGGGGCTAGGCACCATCACGCAGGGAGAGCAGATGAGCTTGCTCAGCGTCAGCTCCCGTTGCATTTTGAAAATGCAAAGAGAAGAACAATGCAAATGCAAACAGTTACTTTTAGCTGAAACTGGAATGAGCAAAACCAGTGACAGAGGAGGGGGAGTGCTGGAGTGAGCCAGGCTGCCTCGGC